CTTCTCTCCAGCCCCACAACTCAGTCTCTTCCTGTGTGATTGTATCACTGTTTGAGCTTGCTAGAACCTCACTGAGAATTCCCAGGCTGGAGTCTGCCAAAGACCTGTCTACCAGGAGCAATCCCAACAAGGAAGGGCCTTTAGGGGAGTCAGCAGGGAGTGGTCAGTGTTTCTCTACCAGTTGATACCATGGGGAGGTAGAGATAGGCCCAGTCCCAGAACTGTGGCACTGCTCAGGTGGAGAAAAGAATGGCCCTTCTCTCCAGCCCCACAACTCAGTTTCTTCCCATGTGATTATGGCACTCCTGGAGCCTGCCTTAACCTCCTCGAGAGCCTCTTGATAAGGTCTGCAGCGTGGGCCCAGGCTGGAGTCCACCAAAGACTGGGACTGATCCCAGCAGGGTGGAGCCTCCAGGGGGGCAAGGAGGGGCTATTGCCACTCCCCAGGCTGATGTTGTATGGAGGGGAATGTTGGACCCTGCAAAGATGGTGTTCATAGGTGGTGTGGGAGAGGGACCTAGCATAGGGCATTTGCTGCTCTCACTCCGGCCTTCTTCCTGCAGCAGTGTCCTTCAATGCCTCCGTTTTTGACTCTGGTTCACTCCACTGCCGTCTCTCTGCTAGAGCCCAGGGTGAGTGCTGCCACTGAGATTCTGTGCGCTGGCCCTTCAAGAAAGCCATCCCCCTTCTCCCCAGGGCGTGTGGAATCCAGGCTGATTTTCACAGCCAGATGTCGTGTGGGCTCCTATTCCAGGCTCTAGTGCTCCAGGCTAGGAAGACTGGTGTGGGGCTCAGGCCCTTCGCTTCGTGGGGGAAAACTCGCCAGCCAGGATATCCCTCTGGATTCTCTCCTGCTGCACGTGGGTGCTGGGCTAACCCCTTTCACGACTCTACCTTTGCTGGTCTTGATGCGGGTTTTTCTGGAAATCCTTCCTTGTAAGACTCCTGTCCAGCTGGGTTCGGCTGCCCGGGTTCACTGCTCTGTACTTTAGCCGCCACTCTGATGTGCTCCCGGGAGGAAGTGAGTACAGCTTTCAGCTCCTGTGCCGAACTCCATCCAGTTTAACTTTTTTTTTGTAATATAAATATTCCAGTTTTGTATTTTTGTGTATTTTCATCTAAGGCCCTCGTTCCTGCAGTGTGTTCTCGGGTACACGAGCAATCTCAGGGATAAGTGGGCAGCAGCTCCCGTCTGCACAGCAGGAACACATTTCGTTGTTGTTTTATCACCAGGCAGGACAGCTATTTGGGTCACAGAGCCTCCTGAATGACCTCATTTCTACCAATTAGAGCCGGTTTTTCTGTCAGTGTCCTCTTGAAACCCGTCCACCGTCAATGTTTCATGAAGACTAAATTTTAACTGAGTAGCCTCATGACTTGATGTCCTTCTACTGAAAGACTGGAAATCAGTCTGAACAGGAACGGGCGGTGCAGAGGTTAGGGGAGGCTGGGCCAGGTGAAAAGCACAGAGGGGAGCCAAGATTAGGTGAAGGTTGTCTGTGTAGAAAGAATTCCTGTTCCCAACCTGTAATTCCAGGGTTTAGGATTCCCTCTACATACCAGATCCATTCCTGGTTGGATTGCGCCAGGCCTACCATGCACACAACAAGGTGTATGTATGTGTGTTTGTAAAAAATATGAGTTGGTAAAGATAGCTTTTAAGAACGATACCTCTGTGCCTAGCTTGAGCTGCCCAGGGATGGGTATATGAAGCAATGACTAAATTCCTTAACCTTTAAAAATTCTGGGCTGTTCTTCCTTGGCTTCCAGAGAAACCGTCAGGGATGCTTTCGTGGTGCCCCGAGCCAGGGTCCTGCTGCTGCTGCAGTGATTAGTGTCACGTGGCTAACGGAGAAATGCAGGTTTCGTTTACATGCTGTGAGATCACTCAAAACCCACCTCACTGTGTTGCAAAGAGGCCAATGCAATAGAACACAGGGGTGATGTGTGTCCGATCCTGAGTTCTCGTCTCCCTCAATTGGTGGCCCCTCTAGCTTTTGTATTTGTCTGATTTAGTGATCGTTAGGTGACCTAGTTTGTGTAATATAATGTGTAAATATAACGTCTTCATGTTCTTTTGGGATAGCAAATGGATGTACCCGGCACAGGGGTTTTATTGTTTATAAATGTCTTTCTGTATTCAGAAAAATAGCCAAAGCATCTTTGACAAAAGACTCTGCACCAGGCAAAAGGATCTGAAACATAAGCTTGGGGACCCCTCTTCCTGGAGTCTTGAACCATTTTTTCTTCTGTTTCCCCTTACCCTACTTCCTATTTTGGATCAGATCTTCTGTTCTAAAAACTTGACTCCTACCCTTCTTCTATCTGCTCCCCACAAAATGCACCCCCCACACATTTAATTTGTTCAGTGTCTCCCCAACCCTTAAATGATGTATGCAGAAAACCAGACAAAGCTAAGAATACTCCATTCCTCGTTCCCAACCTCCTGGTCTTGATATGTGATTAATGCCAAACACTTAGATTGCTGTATGTGGATGGATCAAGTGTACTTTAACCTTTAACTGTAGAGTAGAGAGAAGCAATGAGGGGGACTTCCATTTTGAAAGTGGGGTTGGGAGACCAGGAAAGGGAAGGTGAATGTATATCCAAGTCACTCAGGAACTTCTATGCAGATTCAAGAAACTTATGTCAAAGTAGCCGCAAGATTGTTTAATAGGAGACAGATGAATATACCTCCATCTTCACTGCTAGAAACCAAAGCTTTGTGTGAAATCTTGAATTTATGGGGAGGGAGAGTAAGAAAGCATGTACCTGTCTGTTCTTTTCCTCATCCCATCCCCTCACTTCTGAGCTGCAGGAGACTGAGCCTCCTTGGGCTTTGGTGACCCCCATCACTGGGGACCGTTTATTTGATGGTTGGTTTTGCTGTGCCAGGTACATCCATTTGCTATCTATCATTTTGTAAGGCACATACTGACCCTTTCCCTTCTTCTCTTTCCCCTGAGAAAATAAAATCAATAAATAGAGAGAGAGAGAAACTGATTAACCCAACTTGGCTCAGGTATGTGTACCTGATCTAAACATTAATGGACAAAAGAGTTAGGTCAGAAAGCAGAAACATGCTTCCTGGCCTTCTGGGATAGGAAGTTATTAGAGAAAAGGGTCTGGGCAAACATCCAAGAGAGTTGTGCACCTCAGAGCCTTGAGTTCCTCATCATATTATGAGGATAATTATATCTACCTTTTAGGATGTTATAAGAATCAAAGTAGATAATTTTTAAATGTTAAAACAGTACAAATAAAAAGTGTTTAAATATTTAGGTCCCACTAGCTAGATGGTCCCAGTTCTAAAGGCTAGGTTCCTCTTCTTGCCCACTTCCTCCATGTCACATGGCCTAAAAAGTCAGGAGGTCCTGAGAACAAGAAACACTCAAAACCTCTGACAGTGGTGTTCAAAAAAATTTCCAGATTTGTATCACTTACCAGTCTCTGCAGTAAACATTCCCATCACAGCCAGTTCTAAATTACTAACGGTTTCACAACCGGCTTGTAAAATTTCTCAATATTTTAAAATCCACTAGCTAGTTTGGCTTCAGCACATCTGCCTGAAAGACCTTCAGGATGTTTTTAGAAGAATAATTGTCCTTTAGTCCAGCCCAGGAATTTCTGATAACTCAAAGGGGACATCTTGGAACCAGACTACCCCAGCTAATTCAATAAATCCCATCCACAAAGTGCCTGGTGCTGTGCTGCTCATCATGAGAAATGCTGAAAGTAGTACGTGAGACATGAGGCTAGACCATAGGAAATGGTAGGGGGGGAAGGTATAAAAGTTGCTCAATTAAAGCCTGTGGGGTGAGTTGAGCAATCTGAGAGAGTTTCACAGAGAAGATGAGTCTAGAGTTCAAGGCATTAGCCTGGTAGAGCTCCCTTTGCCCCTCCACACACATACAAACCCAGAGGCGAGCTCTGACCTGTCGATTCTTTGCCACAGTTTAATCCTGTGACATCTGAGCTGCACTGATTCTGCAGATGGTTTACCCTTGACTAGAATAAAAAGATCCGAGAGGATGTCAAGTAAAGTGACCCCGGCAAAGGAAGGAGCAGATGCTGGGATTACCTTTCCTCCCATCTAGCAGCAGGACGACCACAGTGGTGATGATGTGACCTTCAGCATGCATACAACACTTACAGTCTGCAGGAAGCACCTTCCTATGGGCAATGTCATTTTACAAATAAGAAGGAAATTCAAAGCATCAATTATCTTGCCTAATGTCACTCCACCAGAGCCAAGTCCAGAATCCAGGCTGGTCTCAAGCCAAAGGCAGTGTTTTGTCCTTTCTATCTCATAACCGCTTCATCAGTCCGTCCATCCGTCCATCCATCCATCCATCCATCCATCCATCCATCCATCCATCCATCCATCCATCAGATGCTTATAGAATACCTGCCATGTGGTAGACACTGCACTAGACACTGAGGTGCCAAAGTTAACAGATGCAATGCTGTTGGTCACTGCTGACAGGTGCTGGGGATTACATGAGGCTCTTCTCTGCATCTCTTCGAGTCCAGCAAAGGGCTTTGCCATGTGCAGGGCAGTATCTCTTACCCCAGGACTCTTCCTGACTCTGAGTCCAAAAGTCCTTGATGGAAGACGGGCCAAGGTGCCAACTGAGGGCCATTGCTAGAGAAGGGGCCTCAAGTGGTTCAAACCGTTCAGATACCAACTCTGACCCTAGCAGATCTGCCAACACTCTGCTGTGCTTTCTGGCCCACAGGTGGCCATAAACCCATTTGGTTTCTGAGTGCTGAATCCAGCTCAGCTTCGCCCCGAGGAGAAGCTCTTCCAGTCGGGAGCTTCCCAGAGGGCAAAGCTGCTCACTGGTTCCCTCTATAGCAGCTTCTTGCTCTGACTCCAATTCCCACAGCACTCGTCCCTCCAAGCTTCCTTTGTACATCGTTGGCTAAACCCTCACAGCATAAATGCCTCAAATGCATAAATCCATTGTCTCATCTTATAACATCCTCCTCATCTGCAGATCCTGTACCTAGGCCTGTCATAAAAATTGAGAAGGCACAGGAAGTGAACAACAGCTGTTACCTGAATCTGTCATGTGTGGTCCAGGACGAGTCTGTCAAGTACACCTGGTATGGGGACTCAGGACCCATTTTGGAAAAGCTCCAGAGCCGTGTGCTTGAAATCACTGTCAAGCCACAAACCTACTCCAGGTTCTACATGTGCCAAGTCAGCAATCCCGTGAGCAACAGCAGTGACACAGTCTACTTCACTTCAGCCTGTAAACTGGGTAAGAAATATTCCCAAGGGAGCTGAGGTGGGTTCCGGGTCCCTAGTTTTCTCTTGAATGAAGAAAGGTGTGGGGATCCTATTAAGCCTCCGGGCACAGAATTTGGTGGAGAATTGAGTTCTACTCGGGAGACTCGGGTTCTACTCATGGCTCTGCTAACACCTCCCAGGGGACTCACCTCACTTTTGTGGAGATAAGTGTCCTTATCTGCAAAAGGCGATTGCACAGGATGCCCTCTCTCCTTGCCTACTCTAACACTGCATAGTCCTAGAATCCGAGGCCAGGGTAATTTTAGGACAATCTGAGATATCAGGGTGACCAGAGAGAAAAAGGGGAAGTGGGAGAGCAGGCCACACGTTGCCGAGCAGGCTCATTGAGGGGTTTCTGGTAGACTGCATAAGTCAGCAAAAGAAGGGCCGAAAGACAAGCCTGAGCGAGAGCAAGGAGTGAACAGGAGTGGGAGCCTTGCCCTAAGGCAAGAGACTCCCTGCTTTCCCCAGCTGTGTGCTCCTTGATGAACCTAGGTAGGCAAATTCTGGGTTTTATGTTTCAGATTCTCCTGTCTCCTGGGGGGATCTACTCACTCACTTGAGCATCACTTCTGGATCTCTGTCAAGCCTATACAGATCCTATAGTGGGGTAGCTAAGATTGGGTAGTAAGTCCAAAGGTTTTGGAGTCAGACACCTGGGAATTAATTCTGGGAATGTCACTAACTAGCTTCTCTAAGTCATGTTCTTCTCAAATAACAGACAAAATAATAGTTCTTAGCTCATGTTGTTGTAAGGATTGAGTGAGACAATTTAAATAACCTGGCACAGTGCCTGATAAGTCTTCAGTGAATGGTAGCTACATTAGGCCCTGTCCCTTCAATTTGGGAGACACTAGCAGTTTGGGGGCCCCCTCAATAAATAAGGATCACTCTTACCGTCCACACCCCTGAAATCACATCCCTGAGCCTTGGTGTACATATCCTTCTAGAATAACTCCTACCTGTGATGCCCAGTCATCAGGGACCGTGGCCCCCAAAGACACTGCTCTCCCATTGTCTTCTCCGACCCAGTCTACTCTCCCCTACCTGTGCTGATTTTGTGATCTCTGCTGCTACAGGTGGACTACGGAACCTGTATGCTCTTCTTTAGTCTTCCTAACTAGCTGGTCATGTCTCTTCTAGTCTCCTCATATTTGCTGCTCTTCTGTCACCTCAGACTCAGTACGAAGTCTGGGGTCTGACCTTGAGACCACAGTTGACGGGGCAGCTCCAGCATCACCTTCCTATCAACACCAATCTTGAGATCCAGAAAAGGGAAGACACAGTCCCTGTCCTTTATAAAATGAGGGTGACTGCTCATTGGCAGCGAGGTCGAAAACTATAATACATACATGTTTTGGAAGGGCTAAACCTATCTTGTCACTGTTAGCCTCCCAGAGTATCCTAGAAAAGCATCCCTAATCTCCCTCCCCTATTTCTTCACTCATTCTCTTGTTATTTTGTTACTCCCTCTCCTCTCCCCTCCTCTCCTCTCCTCTCCTCCTGTTTGTATTCACTTCCCTCCCTGTCTCTCCCCTTTTTTCCCCTTCTCGTTGGTACAGATGGCTAACGGGGTGGAGAAACAGGAAGACATGGTCCTTCCTTCTCTCAGTCAGCTGTGCATAGCATGTGGTCATCTGTCTACACCTGGAGCTCTGCCCTACCTCAGTGCTATCTGGTGGAGGAGTGATTCTTTCCCAGGCCCCCAAACATGCAAGGTGACCGGCAAGCACAGCACTCAGCTGAGCCGGTGGCATTTAATGGGTTTCCGCACTCTTTATACTTTACACCTGGGGAGATGGAGCCAGTCTGGGCTGAGGACGTCGCAGGCACCCTGGGACTGGATTCAGGGAGGAAACACACTTTCCTGCTCCCATGACAACGTCCATACCCCCACCCTTCCTCAACGCAGTAATCAAGACACCTACGTGTCTGGGGCTCTCTTGTCCTTCCAGCCGGATCCTCTGGAGTGGCTTGGACCACAGAATGGCTAGTGGTCATGATACTCATCATCCTTAGCCTCCTATTGACTTGAGACAAACTCTCCTAACCGAGGATGAGACCGACTGCAGGATCGTGCCTTCATCAGCGACCATGCCCTTAACCCGGGCAGCAGCTCTGGCTCTGTGGAATGGAGAAAGTGTGTTGAAGCACCTATAAATATTTTCAAATTAACTTTTAAAAAAAGCATCGCTACAGCCCAGCCGGCATGGCTCAGCGGTTGAGCATCGACATCTATGATCCAGGACATCACGGTTCGATTCCCGGTCAGAACACGTCCAGGTTGCCAGCTCCATCTCCAGCAGGGGGCGTGCAGGAGGCAGCTGGTCAATTACTCTTGTCATTGTATCTCTCTCTCCCACTCAAATAAAAACATATTTTTTAAAAAAGTCATGACTACAGTATGGCGATTACCAGAGGGAAAGTGCCGGGGAGGTATAAGGGAGATAAATGGTGATAGGAGACTTGACTTGAGGTGGTGAACAAACAATATAATACACAGATATGTATCATAGAATTGTACACTTGGAACTTTTATTAACCAATGTCACCCCAAATAAATTCAATTAAAAAATAATAATAAAAAAAGAGAGGAAAAAGATAAGTTGAATTTCACAATTCAGGTTTTCAGACCTTCTATAATTGTAGGTTGGTGTATTTATATCTACACATTAAGAAATAAATACTTAACAATGCATGGGTAGTAACTTAGCCATAATTATGCTATCCAGACAAATGCTGGGTGGAAATAGTCTCCTTTCTCAAATATGAAGGATTTTCTTTATGACATGCCATTCTAAATCTCAATTTAGCGTAACTAATAAAAATGATTATATCACTTTGCAAAAATAAAACTGCTAGGCACGAAAAAAAAAAAAATCCCTTAGCTATTTCCCAGCACACATACACAACGACACAGGCATTTTTTCCCACCACAAATGCGATCATACTATGCAATGCTGTCTTGCTTAAATCAGTATTTTATGTTATTGTCAAAGTGGATTCCTGCTATTGCCCCAAATCTGTCACTTAAAAAACACAAGCTGAGAAGTAGGTGAGGGCCCCGGCCCAAGATGCAGGACACCCAGCGAGCCGCCGTAGGACCCCGCCCCGCGCCCCGCGCGGCCTCCTCGCCCCG